AAGCATCTTCTAGCTTAAGTAAATGATCTTTCTTTTAGCAACTTCTTTTCTTGTAATTGCTAAAGCTTTGTGTGTAACCAAAGATTGTTTAGATAGGTTTTTATTACCTTATCTTTCCGTAAATAATCTTGTAAAATATGTATTGATCTTCTCTATCAATATATATTTTAAATTTGAAAATACTGTGTTTGTATTCATCCCCCCCCCCTTCTACAAATTGTTTCTCTTCTTGTAGATCCTTACGGGACCAACAAGTGGTATCAGAGCAGTGTTTTCTTTCTTTCCTTGTGTTTGGCTAATTTTCTGTATTAATTTATCTCTTCTTAGATAATTTACTGCTTACAAATGGCTTTACAAATTGCAAACACACACACACAAAAGATAATGGCTCTCTTGCCAAACCTCCTGGTTTGTCCGTGACAACTTTAGTCTCTGGAAGAACCGGATGTCCCTCTTTCTGGAAGGTGTGGATCCTGAAATTCCACATTACATAGAAAATGGACCATATATTCCATTTGTTATTGTTCCGGCTGTTCCAGCAACAGCTACGACTGCCGCGATTCCTGAACGACAGATTCCAAAGCTTCCACATCAGTGGAGCGATGAGGACAWGAAKAARATARCTATAGACACGCGTGCTCGGTCTATAATAGATATGTCTCTTCCTGATGAGATCTATCACTCAATGATGAAACTCAAAACTTCTAAAGCCGTATGGGATACACTTTGTGTCCAATATGAAGGAACCACTCAGGTTCAGGAGACTAGAAAGATCAATCTAGTAAGACAGTATGAAAGCTTTCTCTGTGGAAAGTCTGAGACGCTGTCTGAAGTACATCAAAGATTTAATTGCCTTCTTATTGATCTAAGGGCTGTCGACAAGTAGTATTCTAATTCTGAAACATTGACTAAGTTTCTAGAATGCCTTCCTGAGTCTTGGAACACCTTTTCCATGTGTCTCAAGATGTCAAATGATATGTCCACTCTTTCTCTTTCTATCTTATACGGGATTCTGCTTAACCATGAGCAATCTCGTCAACTGAAAAGAAATCTTGTAAAAGAATCCAGGGAAATGAAAAGCTCTCCTTTAGCTTTGATCTCTGAAGCTTCTTCAGTTGAAACTTCTACTCCTTTTGTTTCTTCTCTACCTCCCGTGGTTATCACGGAGATAGATTCTTCTAAGGACATTCCAGAATCTGATTTAACAGATTTTGATGAGTCCATGGCACTCCTGACTAAGTCATTTAGGAGGTTCGCCATCAAAAGCAACTTCCGCAGATCTTCTCAGCTATCCTTCCGGGAGAAGCCAAAGTCTGAAAGAATAGACAAGGCTTCAGTTGTCTGCTACAACTGTCACCGGCCCGGACATTTTG